GGTTATATAGAACAATAGAACAAGGGGAGAGTTAATCAACTATGTCAACCTTCACCAATAAGGGGATATAATTATCGGTTTATTTATTTATTTTTTTTACCCTTATTATATATATATTTTCTTTTTTTTCTTTTCTTTTTTTTGTTTTTTGGATTTCCTCTTTTTTACTTTCTGACTACTCTCATCCCTGATGTGCTCTGATAAGTGTGCCGTTGCAGAGAAAATAATTGTATTAGGACTACGTGAAGACCGACCTTTTGTTTTAATGTCTAATAAATCAAGAGCCTTAAAGAAACTAGAATGAAGAAAAGAACCAGTTTAGTGCAAAATATATTTATTTAACAAATTTGTTCAACCATTATTCATAAGTATTTTATTTTATGACCGCCGTTGAACAGCCGACCCAGTATTTGGGTTTACGACTACTAATGTATTCATAAGTATTAAAAATCTCAAGCGAATTATATAATTATACACATTGTTGATAATGTGGTGAATATGAGTTTTACATTTTTACATGGATTAAGATTTTCTGAGTGCATAAATTTCATTTTCTGAATGCTTAAATTTCATTTTAGGTTATGACTGATGATTCTGGTAAAGTCAAAGGCTTTGGATTTGTTAGTTTTGAAGACCCAGAAAATGCAGAAAAGGTATTATAATCTTTAAGTTGCTATGCTCATATATTTCTCTTTTTAATATTTGATTTAATGCTTCAAAATAAGATTGTTGATAATTTAAATCAGTATTTAAATTTTAAACTACTACAGGGATCTTTCTAGAAATTAAAGGGCAGATTGTTTTTTTAGAAGACAAGGATACCTTCAGTTTTGCAGAGCACTAATCTTGCAAAATATATCAGTTATATTTAGCTAGATTAGTACCCTTCAAAGGGAATCCAGAATACTCAAATATGAGAAAATACATATGGTAATGTTACTCAGGGGGGAAAAGTATATTTTTGCAAAAGGGCAAGAAATCAGATTTTGTAATTAAAAGTACTAATTGCCATGTTGTATAGTTAGGAATTTTTAATGTGCCTCAATTTGTATCCTACCTATTGCTTTTCACAGCTGCAGTGAATTCAAAGGGGTGAATAAAGACAAACTTTTGAACTATGCTTGGTTTCTACATACATGGATGCTGCTCTTTAGACTAAGTCTTCTTCCAATTTTTTAAAACTAAGTTTAGTTAAAAGTTTGTTTTTGAATTAAGTTTAAGTTTTAAAAAATATTACATTTTAATGAAAGCATTGTTATTTTTTACTATTATTGAGAAGCAATCAATTAGTGGTGTCAGTTGCTTTTGTCAACTTAGACATCTACTTGTGTAAACAAATTTTGTAATATTGCTAAATCTAAATATAATTAATTATACTTACATCCTTCCAAATGTATTTTAAATGAGTTATTATTTTTTAAATCGTAATGCTTGGCCCTAAAATGTATAATGGTGAGGTGAAAAATCTAAATTCTAATTAACAAAACACTAGACTATTTTAATTAGTAAAAGAAACATGTTCGGTCTTTACATTTTATTTATAGTGGCTCCCATGTAATTTATAAGATGGAATTTGAGAATGTTTAATCAGTTAGAAATAAAATAAAAAAACAATTTAAAATAAGCATGATAAAGCTATATTTGAAGCTATTTTAAGGCTATCACATCTATATTTTTACGATCAGTTTAAATTCAGTTGTTTCTGTATGTCTGAATATTTTAAATATTTCAGAGTGCATATCTAACAATATAGTGTTTAATGAGTTAAGTCTTCTAAACTCTTTTACGAAAAAGTAGCTTAAGAATTTTATGCTAATAAGCTATTATCTGTTTTATTTTTAGGCTGTTAATGATCTCAACGGAAAAGAATACAATGGCAAAACTTTGTATGTTGGACGTGCTCAGAAAAAATCTGAGAGAGTTGCGGAATTGAAGCGTAGATTTGAACAACTTAAAATGGATCGCATTAACAGATACCAAGGTGTGAACTTGTATGTTAAAAATCTTGATGATTCTATTGATGATGAACGATTAAGAAAAGAGTTTACACCTTTTGGAACTATTACGAGTGCAAAGGTAATTTGTGAAGTGTTCTCTGCATTGGATGGTGCACTGTGTCTTACATAATTTTAATGTCTGATATGTTGGTTAAATAATTAATCAGAAGATATTGTGAAAAGAGTTGCTTTAACCAGTATATTGCTATTATGAATTAGCTCAACAAGATTTCTCTGTGCTTTTGTACTCAAATTTTGCATAAGAAAACTTGAGATTGGTTTGAACTGTGTTAAAATGCAACGCCAGTATTGAAGCTTTTTAAATGAGATTTATCTTGTTACTTTTTAAAGTAAATGTAGTATAAAATTTTGTTTGTGCTAATAACTAACAATGTAATAAAGATATAATCATGTCATCTTATTTATCAATCAACAGCTGCTGCCATATATGTGTTAACTAGCCATTTCCACATAATTTGTAAAAAGGACATAAGATAGTATTTTTTACAGTCTAATATTAAAATGGTTGGAAAATATAAGCGTAGGTTGTACATCTGAAGATATTTAAAAGTTGGATATTTTAGAGCTGCTAATGACTATAATAAATGATAGCAGTGATTTTTTTAGACTTAATGAACTGGCACTCCAATTGGGTTGCCACTCCACAAGGAATTTTGTTTCTTATTTTCGTCTTTTAAATAATGGTGACCACTCAAAGCTCGATCTACGGAATATACAAGGATGATATTTCAGCTGAACTAATCTATTTAATTTACAATAGCATTATTTAAGTCTGTTCGACTATTCCTTTTTTTACTCTAAGTGTTTCCAGCCATTAAAACTAGTATAGTTAGCTCAATGTGGCTCCTACAAGAGTACAGTATTAAGTTTTTCTTAGTACGTTGTGTATAATATGTACAGGGAATTTTTTTCTCCAAGTTTGAGTGGCAACCCCTACTACACTTTCTTGAGCCCAACGTGCAGATCCTTTTTTGCTAAAGACAAGTGCCTATTTATAATGATATAGATTTTTTTTAATTTTCTATTGGCAGCAGTGTGAGCTAAAATCACCCTAGTAGTTTTGTATTTACTCTCGAACATTCTGGTTCTTTCAAAGAGATATTGAAGTTCTAAGATAGTTTTCCTTATTTATTACAAATTATTTAAATAGTATTATTTTGTAATTTTATTATTAGTAAAATTGTTTGTAAATCCCTACTGCTTTAAATAAACTTGAATAATCTGTAAAAATGTCATGGTTTTTGTAGGTTATGACAGATGGCAATGGGCGATCCAAGGGATTTGGCTTTGTGTGCTTCAGTGCTCCTGAAGAGGCTACAAAAGCTGTCACTGAAATGAACGGCAGAATTGTTTCCTCTAAACCATTGTATGTTGCACTTGCTCAGCGTAAAGAAGAACGTAAGGCTCATTTGGCTTCACAATATATGCAACGTATTGCAGGAATGAGAATGCAGGTATGAATCATGCTATCAGTGAATGCTTTTTAGGTTGCTGTTGCCAAAAAGTTTACTTATCTTTGTCTTTCATTCTAGCTTGGACAGATGTTCAATCCTGGAAATGCTGGATATTTCGTACCTACAATGCCTCAAACCCAACGTAACTTCTATCCTCAAATGGCTCAAATGAGAGCTACTCCTCGGTGGACTACTAATGCTCCAATTAGACCTGGGGCTCAGCCAACAGCAGGTACTTAAAATTGTCAAAACAGTCTAACAGTTTTAACTTATTAATGAATAACCAGTGCATCCCCTAATTAAGTTATCAGTGAAAGGTTAAATATGTTGTGTTTTTTTATTATTACTACTTGTATTTATATTTTATTTTATTTTTCAGCTTTCCAGGCTATGCAGTCAGCTCCATTTACTAGAGCTGCTGCACGACCTGCTGTTGCTGCTGCTCAAAATCCTGGTATAAGAGCTGGAATGACTGCTAGACCTATTATTGGACAGCCTAATGTTGCTGGAGCTGCTTCTGCTGCTGCGGGATCAAGGGTTACTTCTATGGCTTCCTCAGGTGTTGGTGCTGCCCGTCCAGTTGGCGGGGTTCCTGTGGCTAACATTAACCAAGGCCGTCCTGCTGCTTACAAGTATACTTCAAACATGCGAAATCCACCTCAGCAACCACAAACAGCTCAACAAGCTGCAGCAGCTCAGCAACAAGCTATTAACCAACAAGCTGTACGAATTGAAGGCCACATACCTTTGACTCCGTCTATGTTGGCTGAAGCAAATCCTCAAGAACAGAAGCAAATGCTTGGAGAGCGATTGTTCCCCTCAATTCACACCATGTTCCCAGACTTAGCTGGAAAGATCACTGGCATGTTATTGGAGATCGATAATTCTGAATTGCTGCATATGTTGGAGCACACTGAAGCTTTAAAAACAAAGGTAGGTTGTATTATTGGTTAGCCAACATTAAGATTTGCAAGCTTTCAATCGATTTTAAGAAATAATTTTCGAAATTAATAAATTTGTCATTTTAGAAACTAACTTCGCTTACTATGAAATTATTCTGATTTCATATGCTCATGTTAAAGTTTTAGTGTTTTGCTGCATCATTACAAGCCATGGTGGTTTTCAAGATTGCATACAGGGGAGGTTTACAAATTCAGATAGATAACTGTGTTTTTCTAAAATCTCACTATCTTTATAATCAGGGTTGGCAGGTTTTTGACATGTGACAGTTTAAACCATCACGTCAAAAACCTCACTGTCGAAAATGTCAAAAACCTATATTCATATGTGAAATTTAATTAATACATAAAATTTATATATTTTTTATAAAGGATAGTGTTTCTAAATATGTTCTAGAAAAAATAAATTTAAAATTTTGAAGAAACACTTATATTTTGAATAGTAACCAAAATCTTGTACTTTTGAAAGCTCACATCTTTTGTAATATTATGTATTCATTTTCATGTGTTATTGAAAATCTGCAGTGATATTATTAAGAAATTTATTTATAACCAAATTTAGTGTATAGTATAGATTATACTAAAAATTAGACATTTTTAAAGATAAACATTAGCAGTTTTGTACATTAGACATCTTTTAAAGAAAAATCTTTTTAATATTCTTTTAAATCTTCTTAATAATCTTTTTAACATAAGACAATACAAATTTAAGTGCTTTCTGTTAAATACACAGAGTAGTTAGTGTCGATTTACAGTATATTCAGCCTATTCATTTACTATGCTGAAAATTTAGTTTATCCAAATACTTGTGAATTTCATTTTGCTGAATACGATATAGTTTTGTTGAATATCTAAATATTCAGCTGTTGAATAATTACTTCTTGCTTTCAAGATATGCATTATTTGTATTAATACAAGTGGAGAAAAAAAAATTAAGAGATAAAAATTGTTTTAAAAAGATAAGTGAAATAATTATAAATAAATATAATAAGCAATGTGAATTATATTTATCATTATTCATAAATATAACTACTTTTAAATTCAAATTAACATACTGGATAATAAAGATATTCGGTATAACATTAAAAAAAATAAGTATCAAAAAAAAAAAAAAATTTTTTTTTAAATATAAATATTTAAACAATTTTTGTGCAAAATTTTTCTGCACATGCATTTGAATATAAATTTCTGAGATTTTAAATCTGTTATTTTACCTTAATTTTAATTAAAAAATATTTTAAAACCTGCTGATTACCTATAGTATAATTAAATTTCAATATAATGCATGGTAACTGTTGGTAGTTTTGAAGTTTATATATTTTCTTGGCAAACTTCAGTTTTTGACGGTTTAAACCAGTATTATACCCTTGTCATGTCAAAAACCCAACCCTGTTTATAATATGCCTAATTTCTTGGTCAACATGTTGATTGTTGCGTCTCCTGTTTGGGGTGGCGCTTATATGACTACTAGTGAAGGATATTCGTATGTATTTGAAAAGATATCTCACGGGAAGTAACAAAACTATTGAATTTGTTAAAAATGTAATATAGAAATGATTCATTGAGATTTTACTCTTGAGACCGCCAGGTACTCACATTATTAAAGTATTGGTGGGAGTACTTAGCAGAATGCGCTTTGTATAGTGCAGGGCTGATTGTGAGTTTCCTGAAATCAAGTTTTTATTTCGGTAGAACTTATTTTCATTATTTTACACAGTTTATTTTATTTGTTTGTGAGGGAGAGCCAGATACTTCATAAGCTTATATTCAGGATTAATAATCATTTTCGGTCAGTAAATAGTTATAATCATAAACTCAAGAAAGAAAGACATTTGTAAGTTTCAATTACTCCTCCGGGTCATCATAGGTATGTGTAAAATTTTAAATATATGTTAAGTAAACTAGGAAATATTGAGAAAAAAGGTAAAAACGGAATTTTGACTTGGGCTCACAATCACCCATAGTGGTACCCGTGCTTTGAGCGAGATTTTACTGTAAAATTGTGTAGCAGTCGGCATGTTACGCTATTCAGGCGAACGTCACATGTTGCTGTTGCTCAATATTCTTAAGAATTAAAATAGACTCTTCAAGGATTTTCTGGAGTACCTTATTCCTAATTTCTTTAAGTGTGTGAACTTATATTTTTATTTAATTTCCATGCAGCTTTGGTAAAAAAGAAAAAAAAATTAAGTACTTGTTATGAATGTCTTGTAATTATTTATTAAATTTTAGGTTGAAGAAGCTGTCGCAGTTTTGCAAGCTCATCATGCCAAAGAAGGAGCCATAAAAAATCAATCATAGTTGCCTTTATGTCTTTGTCAAGGAAAACAAATACAAAACTAACTTTTTTTCTAAGAAAGGAAGTACAAAATTTAAAAGAAAAAAAATAAGTTAATTTAAAAAAACAACCCACGTGGACAGTTTTAATATATTAAAAAGACAAAAAATATGGAATTCTGTAAACTCTGATTTATTCAGCGTTTGGCTGCTTTCTATTTTTGTAATTTTTTTGTTTTGTTTATTCTACTTTGGATGTCTTCCGAGAACTTTGTTGAATCTTGTATTCAAAATTAAAAACCTACTTTTGTATTTTGTGTGTCTCATTTCTTTGTGCTTAGCTGTTAGTCAAGCATTTTTGTAGCCTAAATTCATTGTCACCAACTGCTACAGACAGTGCTGCCTGGAAAACAGAATCAGGAAATTTTACATTCTTTAGGCGAAATCTGGAAAGGTCATCTAGTTTAATTTAGCGAACGCAAAGTGAGTTATTTGCACCTATCAACCCTACGAACGTATTTTGGGATTAAAATATGGAACTGTTAGTCCCATTTCTTTAAATGGGTTTTTTTTAAAAATTGCTAGGAGTGTTGGTGCAAAAATTATATATTTTCGGCAAAACTGACCATTCACAATGTTGGCTAGATTTATTTTTTATGCATAATCATTTTGTAATGAATTGATTTAAACAGTTTTAATGAAATCAAGGAAGGTAACCCGTCAATATTTATCCTCCTACGAGGTAGAAACATTGGCGAACATATAGTTAGCCATGCCGGTAGTTCAATAAATTTTAAGATAAATTAGAATTTCACAATAAAACCAAACTTTTATCTAATGATTACCATTTGATAAACTTATAGAAAGTATAAAATATGCGGTACTATTACCTATATTTTTTCTTGATAAGTCGGGCTTAATTTTCAAAATAGTTGGTAATGAATTTATTAAATAGTAAATTAATTTTTTATGCATATATTTTTGTTGAATAACACAAAACTTGTATGAAATAATTTCACAAATAAAAATCTAACTGAAATACATACCTAGTCTGTATGAACTAGTCTATTTAAGATTGCTAATGTAAAATAATAAAACTCAAATTTTACTGTGGATCTTAGGGAACTGTTCATCCCTGAAGTCCTAAATGTTCCCTTTTCTTAATTAAGAATTTTTTTGCCACGATCTGAAAAAGTAGACTCGGAGATCTGATCAAGCGAGTTTTATATGCAATCACAAAACCAAATGTCTTTTTCTAATAGTTGTTGAGTTTGCTAGCTAGATGAAGTCTAGTAATGTCATTTTAGTGCTTTAGAAAAATTATAGTCGATTCTATCTGGAAGTGTGCACTATTTTTAAAGTTTAAGAATGTATTTTTCGTGCCAAATTTACTATTAACAATAACTTATTTGTTATTAATAATTATTAGATTTGGTGGGTGTAACGCACACTGAAGCCATTTGCGTGTCCAGTTACGTCCAGAAGTGGTTGGATGTACCTTAAAAGCAGGGTTGGTATTATGTCCTGGAAAAATGACTAATGCAATTGTTAACCGATTAGTAAGAATGGGTTAAATTTAAACAAGTTAATAGTGCTAGGAAGTTAGTTCTTCGAATCTATTTTCCGGGATTGGGGGGACGAATTAAAAATTCAATTATACACAATTTTAAAATCTATTGCGAGTATTCATACCTTACTATAACCATGCCTCATAGCTATAAGATTATAAAAATTAGTATGCTTTTTGTAATTATGAATTCAATATGCAATTCGTTCTAGTCTATATATTACTACAAATGTTGAATGTGTATTTGATTATGGTATTTTAACAATTTTTTACACAGCTAGGCTTTACTCTTCTCCTTTCCGTTCAATATTAAAGAACTAGTTAATTTAATTTTTACTAGAAATTTACTTTTCTTTCCAACTGTTGCTCCTTAGTTTGGGTATTTAAAAATAATAAATTGAATAACTTTGTAATTAATAGAGAATTATTAATACTAGATTGCAACTATAATTCGTTCAAAAAATGATTTTAATATGAGACATTTTCATTTTGAATAAGAGTTTCTTCCACTTGAGTTAGAGGAAACCTATTGCCTTGGTTTTTACTACCGTAAAAAAAAAATGTGTCATCCCTGTTAAAAAGAGTTATTTAATCACTGGATGGAAGGATTGGAAATTTTTTTTTTTTTTTAAACATTGAAAATGTGTATATATTTATATAAATCTAAATTCATATTTTAAAATTCCTTTTGATATTATGTAGTGGAACGTACTCTATATTAAAAAAATCTTTCATTTTTAAACAAAGATTATTTAAATTCTAATGAACTAAACATTTATTATTAAATTTGCTTAAAAAACACAATTTGTTCTTTATAAAATGTTTTACTTGAGCCAAATGTCTGCCAGCTAAAATATTTAATTTCATAATAAAAATAATCATAATAGATATGAATTTATAGTGTCCTTGGACGTCAAATTTATGTTCCCCTCAGCTGAATGCCTGAGACCTTTGCTCATTTCCTCCCTCTGTATTTCAAAACAATTAAAATCTGATTAGTTTAAAAAATAATCAGATTTTTTTTTTTGTCTTTTTACTTAAGCAAAAAAAAATGATAATGAGTTAGGGTTGTAATGATTAAAAATATCAGAATCGATAAATATGATTAAATAATATTTTCTGTTTTCTCTACTTCGCTATAAAATGGGAAATTCCCCTTTTCCATTTGCGTCATTTAAAAGGGAAAATTCCCGATTTCTATTTATTAGTTATATATTTTCCTGTCGAGTGTGTAACTGTTAAAACATAGCCACGTTATTCTAGAAATCTCCCTGAAACAAGAAAAGTCATTCATTCTTTGGTGTGTATAGTTATTTTATTTTGTCCTAGTTTTGAAAAATAAGTATTATATTCTTTTTTTAGAGCTTCAATTTAATATTTATGTCTTAAAATAACCTAAATATATGTTCCAGCAGTTAGTTAATAAAAGTTATCGTTAATTTTGTACCGTAAGGAATATATTTGCTGTTTAAATTCGATTTTATGTTGAGCTATTTGTAGTTCAACAGATACTTAATAGAAATTATCACCAGTTGGTATTGTAAAGAATATGGCTATTTTATAATCTAACAAGACACATCTATGGAATGCGCCGAATATTCGGTCTCTCTGTGGAATATTCAGTTAGGTAAACTGTTATTCGGCTTATCGAATATTAAATCAGATCAATTCAAAAATAAAAGTAACAATGCTGTTTTAAAACCTGTAGTTTTATATAAAATTAATTTTATATTTTTGACTGAAAGAAAATTACAGCCTGTATGATTTGATTACTTGAGGGAAAATAATTTGATGGTGTTCTACATAGACAGGTGTGAACTTAAACAGGGGATTTTTATTGTTTTCACTGTTAGGAAAACAGGTGATCAACATACAGAGGTGGTCGACTTAAAAAGGTTACACTGTATTAGGTAGTATATATTAAATTAGAGCAATTTTTAACTCGTACCTGTCTTAAAATTTATGAAGTAATTCATTCCTTCAAAATTTTAAAATATTTCAATGTATTTTTTTTATTAGAAGCAGTTATAAAATTATTTCATATGATTTTTTCTTCAAATCGTTTCATAGGTCGATCAGAGTTAAGATGTAAATAAATAATAAACTAGGGTTATTTAAAAATTATATCCTTTATATATATATATAATCATACCGTTATTACATATAATTTTTGAAAAAGCCGATATATTATTTTATTATACCTTTTTAATGTGTGGAGTCCATTCAATAAATAAAATTTTGTTACTCATATTATGGTTGTTCGTATTTTAACAATGGTCTTTTATTTATTTTTAAATCATTTATTTGGTTTTTCTGTTCACTTTAAAAATCAACTGTGAAAAAAAAAATTATAATTTTAGAAAATTTTAAACTCATAATATTAAAAAAATAGAATTTCCGAAATTTAAAATTAGGAAAATTAAATTGCACTATAACAAGAAGAATAAAATTATTAAGAAAAGAAAATCAATGAAATATTTTATAAGTATAGGTTCTAAGTTTATCATGTTAAATTAAGCTAGGATTTATTTTCCAACTACTCATCTGAGTTGGCCGTAGATTACAGTAATCGATTACAACTGTAATTGCTTACAGATAATTACTGCTATGTAATCATGATTACAAGTAATCATAATTTTTGATTACATCAGAGTAGAGCAAAAATGTAATCGATTACATTTTTCACTTGCAGTAATCAATTATACTTGTAATCATGATTACAATACTCAATTACTTCTAATCATAACCAATTGCATAACCAATTACTGTATATAATTACTGAAATCAATTACTTGTAATAGTGATTACAAGATTATGATATATGATTTATTTATGAACAATACATATATATATATGTACAATATATCTATATAGATTTACACTATATGTATGTCCAATGTATGCATATATTGTACAGATGTATATACATATAGTGTACAGATGTACTTTCATATAATGTACATAATGATGTAATGTACATATGATGTAAAATGCATATAATGTTCTTGTAATGTACGTATGTGCATACATATATTGGTCAGAAATCTTTCATACAAATTTTACATGTGTACATACATGTTAACCCGATACATACATGTACAATATGTATGTTTCCAATAAATGTATCCACACAATACAATACATGTATGTTCCATCTATGCATATTCATATGTACTATGTATGAATGTATGTACATACTTACATACATTATGTGCAATACATTTATGTCTAAATATATGTACAAAGCAATAAATAAAATGTTAGTTAACTTATAAGGACTCAAACAAGATAAAAGACGAAATCAAACGATATTTAAGTTTAGTTTTCAGCTTTAATTGTTCTATATTATTTTCAAATTGTTTGAATATAATATAATTTTCAGGTATTTTCTTAAAATGTTGATGTTATTTTGTTATAACATAATGCACAGAATAGAAATTTTTAGATGGGGAAAAAAATGGTTAATTTTATGTGTAGAAATAATATTTAGGGATTTAAAATAAGATTTTCCTTTGCTTTCCAAAAAATAAGAGATTGAGTTTTATATATCTTAAAATAAATTTTTAAAACGAAATTTAAGAACTTAACTGTAATAATCTTTTTTAATGCATGCATAATGTATGTGTACATTGTAAATACATATATTTAAATGTACACATGTATTTATACATAAATGTAATTTCGTTTATGTATACGTTGTATGTACATACATACATTGTACATCCTACCATTTTTTGTGCATCCATACATTACATGTGCATATGTATTAACAAAGTATGTAGTTATATAAGTACATATGTTGCCTGTACGAACCATATATCAATGTAAATGTACATGCATGCATTTTATTTACGCAACTATGTACATATAATGTAGCTATAAACAACATTCTTACCATGTATGTACTTACGCACATGCAGTACCAGTCAAAAGTTTAGACTCACTCTTGAATTTTCAAAAATGGACTAATAACAATGTTTTTAAACTGAAAATCACAACAAATTAACTTTATTTTTACAAATATAGGTACACTTATGCGATAAGGTATGCTATAATTCATATGGTATGCTATAATTTTGTGTATTGCTTATGAATTCGTCCAATCTTGGATTCTTCGAAATATAATCCTTCAGCTTTAACCACAGCAGTGCATATTTTTGGTATTCTTTCTATTAGTTTTTGCAATGTTCTAGTTGAGATCTGATTCCAGAAAATAAGTAAAGATTCCCAAAATTTCGTTTGATTGGTACATCACATTTTTCTAACTATTCTATTTAGTTCATCCCTCAATAGTATTAATATCTGAGGATTGAGGTGACCTATCCATGTATTTCAATACTTTTTTCTTTCAGTACTTTTCTTTTGTTGCAATGTAGTTTCTACACAATTTTGATGAATGTTAAGGATCGTTATCTTGCTGAGAAACAAATCCTTGACCAACGATTCTCTGTCCACGTGGAAAAGCGTAGCTGCAATATTCTGTGATAATATTTTTTATCTATAATTCCCTCTATTCTTATAAGATCTCCAACTTAGTCTCCGGTAAAACAACACCAAACTTTAACTGAACCTCCACCATGCTTAAAAGTTAGTAGTATTCATTTGTCATATGTTCACCAACTAAACGAAGAATATACTGCCTTCTTTTTCTGTCCCTCAGTGGACTGATCATTAAGACACGGTTCCCAGCAGATCATCGAAGTCAAGCATCACTGGCTTTCAGTCAGTGTGCGGGTGGGTGACCACTTGGCTCAGTCTGCATAGGGACCGAGGGTGTGCGGTATTGGTCCTCGTTAAACTGTGCTACCGTAAAGTGCTCGACTTCGCGTGCAGGTCGTTGGGCTACCGAAGCGGGGGTGCAATCCCCTTTGTAGAGGATAAAAGTTGTGATGGCGTGTCTTCGGATCATCCTCAGGGATGCTTCCCAGACNTGTGCTACCGTAAAGTGCTCGACTTCGCGTGCAGGTCGTTGGGCTACCGAAGCGGGGGTGCCATCCCCCCTGTAGAGGATCAAAATTGTGATGCCGTGTCTTCGGATCATCCTCAGGGATGCTTCCCAGACCGTCGCCAATAGCCCATTGTGCAGCTCTAGTGCGACGTAAATGAACTACTACTACTACCTTCTTTTTCTTCCAAACAGCTCAAATTTTGACACGTCAGTAAAAAGCGTTTGACCACTGTTCTGAAGACCAGTTAACATGTTTTTTTTTTATCTCATTTGCAGTAGATTTGTTTCTTCAAAAGAGGTTTTCTATCAGCTGCACAATCTCTGAAGCCATAGTTACGAAGTGGTTGTTGTACAGTAGTTAATTGACACAGTTTTCTGCCTAGTAGTAGCATTCATTTTCTCACTGATTTCTGGTGTTGTTCGAGAGCGCTGCGGCTTACTTTGAAATGCAGATAAACTTATCCTCACGTTTCGACATTATTCTAGGTCTCCTTGATCGTTGATGGCTCTTATTTTGGTCAGTTTCTTTCTTCTGTTGCTAAGTTCTGACAACTGTGGTGTGGGAAACATTAGTTTTTAAAGGCAATTTGTCTACTTTAATAGCCTTCTTCATGAAGTGCACCCCTCTGCAGAGGATCTAAATTGTAATGGCATGTCTTCGGATCTTCCTCAGCGATGTTTCCCAGACCGTCGCCAATAGCCCATTGTGCAGCTCTAGTGCGACGTAAATGAGCAACAACAACAACAGTCATGAAGTGCAATAACAACTACGCCGATTTTTACGCTTATATCGGACATTTGACCCATATTTCTGTAATAAATTATATAAAAATTGTTAACTTCTGTTTTTAATAAGTCCAAGTTATTCTGGCAAATTAAGGCTATTATATCACTATTTTAAATGTGTTATGTACATGAAACTAACTTATAATGAACCTTACAAAAGAAGATGAAAAGTAAATTTCTAATAAACTAAAAATTAATGAATTTTTTTAATTAATTTATTACACTTTGTTGTTCTAGTTAATTTACGTCGCACTAGAGCTGCTCAATGGGCTATTGGCGACGATCTTGGAAACATCCCTGAGGATGATCCGAAGATAAGCCGTCACAATTTTGATCCTCTGCAAACGGGATGGCACCCCCGCTTCGGTAGCCCAACGACCTGCACGCGAAGTCGAGCACTTTACGGTAGAACAGTTTAACGACGACCAATGGATGGTGTTTTCTACACTAGGGAGCGCTGCAAGCTCGGGACTGCCCAAATTTCCGGGTTACTGTTTCAGTTGTATTTTAAAGCCATTTGGCATCATTGTGTTTTGAGAGGAAAATGGAAAACTGAAATNTTTTATTGAAAACAAAATTATTCGTTTGAAAACATCGCCTATCAGAATAACATGTAGTAAGCAGCTGCAAACTTTTTAACCGGAACTAGAGTAGGTCTCGAGCTCGAGATTGTTATTGTTTACATTTCTATTGAAAACACCATCCATACCACACACTGACCGCAGCCAGTGATGCTTGACTTCAGTGATCTGCTGGGAACCGTGTCTTAACGATCAGTCCACTGCGGGACTACACTTTTTTTAGAATAAGTATTTCAACGCATTTTCGTTCATTTCGTAATCAACTACAGAATAGATACAAAATGAAAAATAATGAACAGTTTTAGATGGAAATAGCATTTTGTGAAGTTTGTTGATGTTTATGTTTGATAAATTACATCTTTAAACCAGAAATATGTATGAAAGCCAGAAATAATCCTCGAAAACAACAATTTGAGAACAGGCATATATTTATAGAATATATAAATTTATATGCACAGCAAAAAATTTTTATAATTGAAAACCGAGGCCATCTTCATCAGACTTGATTTCATTGACGAGCAATTTTGGCTTGTCAAATATTCTGCTGTTTAACACATGTTAAATAAATGAGCACATTATTATTCTTTGCATTTCTTTTTTTTTTTTTCTGAAATTATTTTGAGACGATCTCATAGTTTTAGCATAGAGCTTTTTTGCTTTTCGCTTGTATTCTCTGTAAGATAAAATTATCATGAGTTAATAAAAATCTTGCACATTTCTGATTTTTTGATATTTCACTGCGTATATAAAAGAGATTGATGTTTTCGGTGAAATTTCAGAACGTATGTTGGAATTTCAGGGCATTTTCATTTTTCAAAGAGATTGAAAGTTTCTGGTGACAACTTTTGAAATTCGTGGACTGTCCCTAACATTTGAAGACGTCTTGTCACCTTACCATAAAAGGTAGCATTCATAACCGGTCTACCTAACTAATTAAAACCGGTGTGAACGCTTCTAAGCTTCGCAATAAATTCTGTGACATTACTTTCAGCATATACTCTGTATGTTAAATGACGAGTAATAGTCATAAATCTAGTGCACCAAATATTTAAAAAAAGAAAACATCGAAAAAAATTTTTTTTTTCTTCTTCTAGAGCAGGGATGGGCAAACTACGGCCCGCGGGCCAACTGTGGACCGCCGGAAGGTTTTATCCGGCCCACGGATAGAATTTTAACTTGCCGATCCGTGGCGAATATAAACAAGATATATTATACATCCATTATTTTGTCTACTTTGTTTAAAGCTATTTTTACTCTTTCTTTTTAACAAAGTACTGATAACTTTTTTACTTTCTCTATTGGTGGAATTGATGGAAACAGTTCGCACAGATAGCTTCAATTAGCAAAATGTTGAAACCAGAAGTTCTTTATAGAATAGCCGCAGATTAGATCCTAAGAGCGTTTGTCTTTCTGGAGGAGCAAACATATGGAATCTGGCATATGTGGATTGTGTTTCACCCGTGGCAAACAGCACATTTTAAGCTCCAACGAGCGGATTTTTCTGCCGGTGTGAGTTCTAAGATTATTATTGAGTATGGAAAGATTGCACACTATTTTTGTTTCTAAACATGTCAAAGTTTGATTTTTGCAAATCATTACCAAAAGCAAGTCTCCAAAATTTAATATCTCATGCCCAGAATATCAGCGCCATGTTTGCTTCATCTTATTTATGTGAACAAGTGTTTTCAACTATGAACTTTAGAAAAAATCATTTGAGAAGTAGGCTAACAGACAAACTTCTAAAAATGAAATCTCAATTTCGTTCATCTCTTTAAATGTTTAAATCATAACTTCTATATAGTTTGTTACTCGGCCCACCAAACGTTTTTCTCTCGATTTTTTACCCTCGACTAAAAAAGTTTGCCCATCCCTGTTCTAGAGGGTTTGTCCAAAGAGATCCAAGGTCTATTTTTTCAGAACAGGTCCACTTTGGCGAACACTTCTTACGTGTTAGTGAAATTTTTTGAAAAAAAGATTTTAAAAAGATCCTGAACTTACAATTATCTCAATATTCCGTGGAGTGAAGGCTGCTATTTGTAAAAATATAATTAAAAAATTTATGGATTAAAAACTCCCTTTGTTTCAGGAATTATGGATAGAATTTGCTGCATTGTTGATTTTGAAGGCTTTTGGGTGAACTCTACGTTTTTGGCGAGAGAGATAGGGTGGATCAACATCAGCACTGGCATGTCAGGGACTGTTCGATTTGATTTGCGGGGTTACCAACGATCCTTACCAGATCTAATGAACTGTGACTATATTACTGAAAATATCAGTGGCTTGACATTTGAGCCGATGTTAGGAGAGCCGACCATATCGCCTCATCTTCTGGATGGCAAGATACGTGAAATCTATAGTAATTGCAGAACTCCCTACAAGCATGTAATTGCTTACAAAGGAGGACATGTTGAAAAGGACGTTTTGGAACGTCTTGGCATACCATGTATCAATCTTGAACTTTTTAACTGTCCCAAGTTTGAGCAGATTAGTAGAGGAAATTATCAAACTTGTGGTTTTCACAAGTATAATGGCCACTGTCCACTTGCTGAAGTCCATGCCTTCAGAGCCTGGATGTTAGCTCGTCTTTGAAGTATTAATACATAAATCGTAGTAACAAACTACTTTTTTGTTACCTGTCATGATTATAGTTATAACCTAATTGTAATTTTAATTAACTGTTGTTGTCTTAAATAAATAAAACTAATATTTTACTGTATCATATTGGTTAGTTTTTTATTCTGTTCTAACTCCACTTTTTTATTTATTTTTTAAATTTACACAAACTGACCTATCACATATTTGTCAATCAAATAAGTAAAATTACTTTTGGGACAGTCAATAAATGATGCCACTCTTGGTGGGGTTGTGAAACTGAGTTTAAGACAAGGAGGGACAAGAGTAGCAAGCGTGATATCACACATTTAAAATCGGCAGATTAAAATACAATTTTCTTCTGACGATTTTATTTTGTATATATATATTGATTGAAAATACAAATAGTTTTACTTATTTTCTATTTATTTGGTATTGTATTTCTTTTTCAGGTTTTTAACCTTAATTTATTTTCATTAATTATTTTTTAATTCTAGCTTTGTAATCTATTTTAAGTACAGTAGGGAACCGATTATCCGGAACGATCGTGCGATCGGGACCATCACTATTCCGAATATCTGGTTTTTCCGGTTTTCTGAATCGCTACAAAAAGCCGTTTTTTTATTGTTAAACCCAACTAAAAAAAAATTTTTTTTTTTGAAAATAATCTCAAAAAGAAGAAAAAACGATGGAGTAATACACTAATGATTATTTCCAAAAAAGAAAGAAAAATCCTAAAATCTTGTGAGGAAAAAAAATTTTTTTTTTAAAAAATGGTGGAAAAATTTATCGAATTTCGTTCCGGTTTTTTGGTTTTCCGGTTTTCTGATTTCCGGATAACGGGTTCTGTACATGAATCTTTTTCCTTCGGTACAACGTGTTAGAAAAATATTAAGGCGAGTCTTTTTCACAACATTTGAACACTCTTAAAAGATAAAATAAAAATAATTGCAAAAAAGGGCAAATCAAATTTCAAGTTAAATACTATTGTTTTCAATTTTGTATCAATGTTTCATTACTGTTCTGTAATTAAGATTTTTGCTTTAGTACACAAATAACACTGGGGAACAATTTTTTTTCTGTTGCTTGAGATATTTTAACAGGCCTTAGATATTTTTGTATCAGTAGTTTCAAACTTGCAATCGGCTTCTCTCTCCAAGGCAGAGTTTTTTTTTTAATGACATGTTTAGTTTCTTTCTTTTTTTTGTTGAAACGCACAAGTTTAAAAACGTTATATAAGTAATAGGGGGTCACACAGATCTTGCAACAAACTTCTAAGAGATTTATGGCACATCATCAGGATAAAATTGCCGGAAATGTTATACGCCGCTACGGGCACATCCCTATTATGAACTGCTCCTTCTTATGCTTCTGAACAGGTCATAATATGGAAGCGCTCATAGCCGCGTACTACGACATTTTCGGGTATGGGTTTCCACACAGTGTTAATCCTAATAATGTACCATAACTCCTTTACAAGTTTGTCAAAACATCTACGTGATCCCATTGTTATATATAACGTTTGTAAACTTGTACATTTTGACCACAAAATAAACGAAAAATATCATTTTTTAAAAAAAATCTGTAACTTTAGGAACAAAACTAATGTCAGATGTGAAATTCCCACACCCGGATTAGGAAAGATCAAGTATTTGTATAGATGCAACAAAGAATTTGTTTCTTAGTATAATCATTGTCGTTATTAAGCTTACAAATATTAATAAAACACACAGTTAAAGTTTAAAAATAAAATATGAAGTGTGATCTATAACGTAGTGTTTTATTTTTGAAAAGCAAATACTGCTTGTCCCGCAGTGGACTGATCGTTAAGACACGGTTCCCAACTGATCACCGAAGTCAAGCATCACTGGCTGCGGTCAGTGTGCGGGTCATTGACCACTTGGATCAGCCTGCGTAGGGACCGAGGGTGTGCGATATTGGTCCTCGTTAAACTGTTCTACCGTAAAGTGTTCGACTTCGTGTGCAGGTCGTTGGGCTACCGAAGCGGGGGTGCCATCCCCTCCGCAGAGGATCAAAATTGTGATGGGTTGTCTTCGGATCATCCTCAAAGATGTTTCCCAAACCGTCGCCATTAGCCCGTTGTGCAGCTCTAGTGCGACGTAAATGAACAACAACAGCAAATACTGCTTATGTAAAATAGTTTGACTTATGGACTCGGAGGGTTAGGAGGTATGCCGAAATGTGTCACTCGGTGACAAAAGAGAAGGTCAAAATATTAAAAAAAAGAAAGAAAATTTATCTTTAATTTATGAACAGCCTCTATTAAAATAAGAGTGATTAAATATGAATTTACCAAAATCACATTACTATGTATTAGTAGTTTGAGCTATTGTAAGCGAATTCGCCGCATGTTGCAGATTTTTGCTGCAATGTATCTTATAGTCAATTTTAATTAAGTATTCTTTGATAAAAAACCTAGCGTTTAAATTAATACCCTCTTATCAAAAAAGTATACTCTTTTTTCTTCTTTTTTTTTTAACGTTAACTGCGTTTTTCTTAGCTCGTTTTCACGTGGAAATTTTTTCTTCGGAATTTCGACCACTTTCTGACTAGATAGGGCTCTCGAATACTCTACTGTGCAATGCGATACTACCATGCACGTTTAAATTGCTTTATTGCCGCTGCATGATTTTAGCGCCAATAGGAATTTACTTCAAATCAAAATTTCGACTAGCTTAAGTGCTCAAATTTACTATGAAACTCTGTGCTGAATAACAATATAAGTTCTCATTACTTAGTGATGGTTCAATTCCGATCAGTTTTCACAATGCGATTAATTTCGGTTTTATTCGAGCACTAAAATTTTGTGTGTATCCTGTGCTAGATGACACCACAAGTTTCATTCGTTTTTAGATCACTACAAACAAACTTTATCGTAAAATTACCGTCAAACGGGGTGACTAAGTTCCATACGGGGTGACTCGGTGCCATCCTGGGTTTTCGAACTCAAGTGGCAGATGACGCCTGAGGAAGGAACCGATCGAAAAAGGCAGGTGGTACAGCTAGGTGGGCGATTCTAACTGGGGTACTACACCAATCAAATTGTAACCATTGTTTGCGTCGACGTGGATTTGTGATGTGATCTGGAAAAGAAGTGTGGTTTGGTAATCGTATTTCGGAAGCAGCCAGAAAAAAGGTAAGTTCTGTTTTTTGTTACCAAAGTATCAAAGAAGTTCTACGCGCTTCGATGTTTCAGAATGGTTTTTTGTTTACCAGTTATAACCCTTAATTCAATTTTCGATGAAGTGTGGGGTGACTAGGTGCCATCTTGTTTTGCAGTGTTTTTGTCATTTTTAAGTTTCTAGAGTGCTTACATTGATTGCTTAGACCTGCCATTGATGTCCTAGATGTTGACCACCCATCTACAACAGTCTCTGGTCATCCGTTGACTAGCAGTGAGTCAGTCAATGTCAATGACGCAAAAAACACTGGCCCTGTGCAAGGTGACTTTGTTGCAGAAAAATATAAAGGAAATATGTACCCGGGTCAAATGATTTCTGATTTCGACAGTAGCAACGAGGCATGTGTGAAATGCCTGGAGAAACGTGAACAATTCTGGAAGTGGCCTGACACCTCTGATGCTTTGCGGTACAAAAAGAAACAAATCCTGAAGAAGATTTGTCCTCCCGAACCTCTACCAAATGGCGACAAATTTCAGGTTATTCTAAATTCGGATTGACTGAAGAGAGAATTTCTATCTCAAATATGTAGTTTGTGTTTCGTTTAATAAATTGAGTTATTTTGAAAAACATTTTGAAGAGTTTCTTTAAATAGCATTTTCCATATGTATGGCCTTTTTTATTTTAAAATTTGAAGATATACTTTCAGATTTTTAACCTTANTGGGCCTAGGGCCCACAATTTCTAAGGGGCCTCAAAAATTAGTAAAAAGTCTAATGAAAATTGGGCTAGCTATGTGTTGATTTAAGTACTAAATAAATAAATAATTTCAGCTTACAATAAAAAATAATTCAACTAATCAGTGACTTTTAGCAAAAATCACTGATTTGCTTTAATTTATAGATACGTAAACTTTATCTTAGAAAAATAATCTTCAATTGTCTGCTTTCAAAATTTTTTAGAATGTTTCCCTTTTGAATCATGCAGTTCAATAGATTCTTTTTCATGATTAGGACTACTCTTCAGTAATTTAATTTCAAAATATTTTGTAAGGGGCCCAGAAAATATGGTGGACCTTGGGCCTAAATTTGTCGTGATCGGTCCCTGGTATACTCATAAAAAAATTAACTTATAATAGCTAAAATGACAAGTAGATGAATTCTGAAGGGTGAGAAGTTACCAGCTATCGTTTCTTATAGATTTAAGAGGAGGAAACATGCGTGGCACTTAGTCACCCCCATGTGCTGGGTGAGTAAATGCCACTAAGAAAAAATTATGTCTCCCCTCCATGATATCTTAGCATCATTTTTAATGTGTGTAATGAAAGCTAATATGTGTAATTATGTTGCATTAAATAATCAACCCGATAGGTGCAAAATTAGAGGAAATATGACACGAAAACGTCAAAAAGTGGCACATACTCACCCCGTTTGACGATATCGCAGAAGGGAATTTATCGTGAATTAAAATTTTTATTACTTTCCAACCAGCTAAAAATCTCAAATTATAATTGAAGATTTGTATAGAACGGCAATGTAAGTTTCAATAATTTCCTGACAGCTGCAAGCAATATTTACTGTCATTTTATCGCCAATCGAATTCCGGACAGATTTCCGACTTGCTAGGCTGCTAAAATTTTAATGGTAGCTCTGTGTTACATTACAATGCAAGTTTTAATTGTTTTCCAACTAATACAAGTGAAATTTAGTACTGTTATAACGTCATTGGGGATTCATCGTCTCTCGAAGTTTTGAGCACTTTTAGGCTAGTTAGAGTGCATATATATTTTAACTATAACTCTGTGCTTGATGACAATAGATTTTAATCGTTCCCTGACAGCTGCCAACTGAATTTATCGTCATAAAATATTTTGACCACTTTTGAACTTACCAGAGAGATGAAATTTCATGGAGCTCATTCTTGTAGGACAATGCAAGTGCATATTATTTTCTGATCATTGAGCAGAATTTTAAGAGATATTATC